AATCGATAGACACGTCACTCAACCAATCGACCGATGCACATGCCGTACTATCAACCGATCATACCACTACACCATCCAAGGTACAAACACATAATTTCGATTTTACCTTACTAATTCCGGATGAATTTGGTATTTTCAGGGATCCAGATAGCCATGCACGAGAAATGGATGGGATAATCATTCCAATCTCCAAAGAAGACGTTGCAGACATTCTTCAGATGACCAACTCAGCATATCCAGAATCTCAACACGCATCGATCGATACGTGGAGACTCACATCGACCGATATACGTCGGGAATTTGGGAAACGAGCTTTCAAATTCAGGATTTGTCAATTCTTGTGGGAAAAGAAAGGCGAATATGGAATCTACAGAGATGAGAATGGTTTCGCAAGAGATGGAGATATCATCCATGTTTTGAAAGAAGATATGGGAAAATTGCTGAATAGAGCCTCACTGATGGAGCGCTCTTGTTTCGGTTTACCAGAACACGCTGAACAGTTTGCTAAAGGAGTTCCAGTTTGCACGCTCTACACACAAGCAGAGGTCAAGTACATGATCAATGGAAGAGTTGGTGAACATAACTGGGAAATGGCATCACTGAAGTCTGAACATGAAAGAACCACAACATCACTTCAAGGAGAATTCAATTGGCTTCAGACTACCCACGAATTAGTTCGCAAAGAGAAGGACGCTCTGCAAGAAGAAGTGAATGCGCTTCGCGAAGAACTGGAATCTCAGAAACAGATATCGATCGATGACCCAACTAGTACATCGACCGATATTAGAGCACCCAATTTCTGTACCAGAGGAGAACTTGAAGAAATCACAGGGGATATCTACAAAGCTATTGAAGCCTGTGGAGACGAAACATACAGATTAATCGACAAGATGTGGTTCCCAGTACAGAGTGACGTTCAAGGATTAAAATTTACAACAGAAGGAATTCAGAAGGAGATTGAAAACATTCAGAGACAGCTCGCAAACCGACATGCACCATTCGCATCGATCGACATGCCATTCAGCCCATCGACCGTTAGACAGCATTTCAAATCGACATATACAGTCACACCAAGATCGGGCGATAATACCCCTTCCCATGTGAAACCCATCCAACACCTCAACACAATGCAACTGAGTATTGATCTAGAACAAACCTACATCAAGATTGGATAACATGAGTTCAGCATTGCGAGCCTTGAGGAGTGGCTACAAAGAATCCAATATGAGGTCCAGGAGTTGAAAGCTATTATGACCAAAAGAGAGGAAGCCACAAGAAGCTTCTTAACTGCTTGGTTTGGAGAATCACAAGATAAGGAGGATACTTGTTTTCTAACAAGTACCTGCAACTCACCTCACTAGCCACCATACATCCATAGTCAAGCTAAATGACTTTAACCAAGCGCTGAGTGGGAGGCAACCCACTATTAGGTATTTTCTTACTTAGTTTTATATTATTTTTAGTTTTTACTTTCTTTTTTATTAGTTTCAGAAGAGATGCTACACGATCACTACCTCTATCGACCGATACGATCCTGTCGACATCGCTCGACAAAGGCCTATCCATGACGATCGATGAAGGTGGCTCACCATTGATCGATACGAATTCCGGTCAGGTATATCATTTACAATTTTCGATATCAGTTATACATTATTTATATATGCCCTAACTGCGACTGGTTATACACTGAGGACAGTGTATGGTTTAAGTCTGGGGGAGTGGAGATTACTGATGCTACTTCACCTTTTGATCTCATTAAATATTTTCAAAATTGGTTTTATTGAGTCAAGAAGGGGACAAAAATATTTCAAAATATTTTACTTTTTATCTAACCATTCTTTAGCACCATTCTTAGAATTGTTGATTGCAGAAAGTACTATAGATGCTAAAGTGAATCACCAGTCACCTATGACAACACTTTTCATGATTGTTTGGAAGAACCAAAGCTGATTTCCAACCTAACCTGACATCTATTGCTTGTCTTGGGGCTTGGTATACAAGGGATCGGAATCCTCCTGCAAGTCTAGAAGGTAAAACTCTTGATAATTATGGTTTCCTTCTCTCCTTCCTTTGGCATCCCAAAAAGAGAAAAATAAAAGATTGAGATGATTTCCTGAGAGGCAGATGGAGAGGTACATTACCTATGACCCCACTATTCTAATTCAAAGGAATGATCACACATTGTGGAAGCGAGGGAGAGGTAAATTACCCATGACCCCACTATTCGCCTACACTTTGTCAGAAATGCTACAAAAAGTAGAAAGATCAATAAGATGAACATTTGTTGTTCATTGGAATTGATATAAAAGAAAAAGAAAAATTTGGGATTCATAGAAGGGAGATACAGGGAGAAAAGAAACCAGAATGAGAATGCCTGAAACTTTTTTGAGTTGAATCCAAGTGTTCTTTGATCGATACTCCCAAGATAAAGCTTACATTTTTATTTTATGCATAAATAAAATCAGTAGAGGGGATAGAAAAACAGGATTGCTAAGTTGATTGGTTAGATGAATTTGGTTGCTAAGCTAGGATATGGTATAATGTACTTCTGTAGTTAATAGATATGAGATGTGGCTTGCAACAAAGTAAAGGTGATGATCTTAAGTTAAGAATTGATTGAGTCCCTGCTGTTTTCTAAAACTTCTTCTAAAGACTTAACTATTGTGTTTGCTTGAGTACAAGCAAAATGTTAAGTCTGGGGGAGTTGATCTACCATGGTTTTGACCCACTTTTAACCATGGTATTGAGATGACTTTATAATATATATATATATATATATATATATATATATATATGTTTTGGAGTCTATTAGATATGTTTTCAGGTTCAGGAGCATTTTGGAGTAAAGTGATGATTTAGGTGCCCTTATGGAGCTTAAAGGAGAGTTTTCCCGAGATGACTATGAAGATCAGACAACAGAGTCGATATCCAGAGATACATATCGATCGATACACATCATGTGTAATCGATCGACGACGCTTCCGCAGAAGATGACGAATCAAGATACTCCATCGATCGATGTACGCCATGTACCATCAATCGATATCAAGCGTGAAGAACAAGTTTGACTCAGCTGACTTGAAGCCCAAGTTCTCTCAATATTACAAGATTTCCCCTGACGAGTTTATAACCTAATAGAACTCATATTTATAGTTATATATGCCTATGTGTTTTGGCTAGACATGCTTTTTATACCTTAAATGTTTTTTTGTGCTTTTTAAGTTTTACATGCTTTCTACATGTTCTGCTTTTGAATGCTTTTATGCTCTTAATTCTTTGATTTATTAAAGTATTCTTTTCATCTTATTCTCATTTTCATAAAAGATTATAGAGTTCTAGATTTAGAAGAACACACAAAGAGATTTGTTGTTCAAAGGAACTAAGTGTTCAATCTTCTAATCTTATGAATTTCTATTACTACCTTGATGCTATGAATCACTTAGCCATGTATGAATAGATTCACTTGTTAGATTTGGGGTTCAAATAGTTATGAGGGATTAGCCCCAACCATGGATTGTTGAGTTGTGATATTCATTATCCTAGTGAATCCTAATGCTTACTCTAGAATAGCTAACTAGAGTATGATCATAGAATGATTTAATCATCATCCTGAAATCATCTAGCATAAGCTGAGATCCTCTAGGGACGAACGAGAGCCGGTCTATGATCTTGGTGAAAAAGTCGATCGCTAATAGACTTATCTAAGAGTTGAAGTTCTTTAATACTTACAAGCAACTTATAAAGACATTTGTAGCATTATAATCCTGATTATCTGAATAGCAACCTTAAATTTAACTACTTTCTTTTATTGTTGAAAACCTAAACCAATTCTCTTGAGCAACTTACCATTGCTCACAACTTACCATTGCTCACAACTGCAATTTACTTTTAAACTTAATCAACCTAGCATAATCACTAAGGATTTTATCTTTTGTGTTCCTTAGTTCCTTGTGGATTCGATCCCTAAGTACTACAATTGAACCTCTTATTTGAGAGAGTAATTCACTCATTAGGGTAATTTGAGTGATATCAGTCTTAATACCATCTTCTTATTAATGTTTAATTTAGTAAATTTTTAGGTTTATCATGTGCATCTCACAGGTTAAAGTTATTCTTAGGTCCATCTCCTAGGGTGAATCTCTAAATCTACCAACCAATAGGATTTGATTATTTAGATTCAATATCTTTCAAAAAGAAAACCAAATAATAAAATTAAAAAATTATATTATATTTTAAGATAAATAAAAATAATAGTAATTACAAAAATAGTTTTTTTTTTTTAATATTGTTCAATCCGTCAGCAAAATACTAAACTATAAATCCTAATTCTAAAGAGTAAACCCTTGGATAAATCCTGAATCATTTGGTAAATCTTGAACTCTTGGAGAAATCTTAAACCCTTTATCCTAAACCTTAAACCAAACCATTATTCCTAAATCTTAAACCCTAATACGAAATCCTAAATTTTAAATTATAAACACAAAACTCTAAATACTTGAGTTTAGGATTAAGGATTTAGGGTTTAAGATTAAGAGTTTAGAGTTTGTTTTAAGGCTTAGAATTAAAGGTTTAAGATTAATGGTTTAGGGTTTAGGATTTAAAATTTGTCCAAGGGATCATGATTCACTTAATGGTTTAGGATTTAATGTTTAAAATTTAAGGTTTAGAGTTTAGTATTTTACTCAGGGGTTTAACAATATTTTAAATTTTATTTGGTAACTACTACTATTTTTATCTATAAAATTTATATAATTTAATATATTTTTATTATTTGATTTCTTTTTTTTAAAAAAAGAAAAATTGAAATCTAAAATAACTAGATCCTTTTGGTTGTGAATCTAAAAGTTTATCCTGTGAAGTAAACCTAAGAATAACTCCACAAATTATTAGTTTCTATATAAATCACAATCGTCAAGAGAAATAACTACAGTTACGGAAAAAGAATAATAAAATGCTTTATTTTATTGAACATCAAACATAAATCTGATATTAGTAAAGCATTACTCAACCGCTCTAATTGCCAGTTTTCTAGAAACGTGACCGCTTTTATCATTTTGTACAACAACAACGCCCATTAACACAATTTCCATCTTTAAAATCTTCGAGGAAACAGTCATGGAAGCATTCAAAAGTTCCGTATCTTGGTGAACACAGTATATTGCAAACTTTCGTTGCTTCGACCACTGCAACGTACAACTTATGTTAAACGAAATCAATTATATATGAAATATATGTGGGAAAGAGGAAACTAAATGTTTAGTTGCGAATATGATGTGATGTAGGAAGAACATAGTCTTGCAGTTCGATCTTTCCGCGTAACCATCTTATTAAGTTCAAAACAACTAATGCTAGAAAGGAAATATCGGTTTTACAATTTGAGTTTTTTTTTTTTCGTAAACATTTTATATAAACTTAATTACACTTATTTTTATAATGACCAAAAATATTATACAACCAGAACATACCAGATGAAGCCACATCTGAATTGGACGATGACTTAGCACATATCATCACAAGAAAAAATATCACATAAATTTTCGTGATACTCATGTTTTCTTTAGTTATGTTAATTCTGATGGAAAAGAACGTCTCTTTCACACAAAAAAAAAGACAAAAGGAAAAAGTATACACTATTTTAAATCTTTACGAAAAGCTTTATTTATATGACTGTCGAGAGATGACCTAATTTCAACTCAGCTTTTTTTAAAAAAAATTTTGTTTACCATAAATAAATCTTTCATATGTGCTTATAACTATTTTTATGGTTAGGGAATTTTATATTGGCAAGTATGGCACGATTCTATATTATTAGGTGCCATATCATGGAAAGTCAATTCATATAGTCAAAGATTTTGTTGATACTTATTTAAGTAAAATATTGTTGAAGATTTTGAACAATGGGAAACTAGAATAATGGAGAAGCCGTTTACTGAAGAGAAATTTCCATTAAGTAAGTAGAAATAATCGAACAGTTAATATCATTCAATTTTTCAGTAAATTGAAATGGAGGGAGTATCTAGTTTGATTGAAATTTATTATGTATCATTGCTAATTTGACAAAAAGAAATACTGTTCATGTAAAAAACTGTGTCAAAATTCATATATATATATATATATATATATATATATTTGAAAAGCAAAAAATGTCGTGTAACTATTTATATGTTCAAATAACAATTTATGTCATATTTATATGGTCAAATACAATGTTTTGAAAATTGGACCGGATAACGAATCGGTGAGATATCTGAGTCACGGTTCAATCCGATCTAACCGGTTCAACCGGGTTTTATATATAGTATTTTGTATATGTATATATACATATATAATAGTATCACCAAATAAACATGCATACATAGTTACATCAGTTTCTATTTTTCTATTTTTCACATACCCACGTTTCTGCTTCTTCTTTCTTCTCCATAGTTACATCAGTTCAAGTTCCTGCAAATTTTGTCATTTATATATTTTTTGTTTTCGTGCACGTAGAAGTTTTCTTTTTCGTTTGCTATATCAAATCAACCTAAATCAAAGCAAACTGAAAGAAAAAAAAAACTATCTTCAACGTATAAATCAATGCTAAAACAAATGTTTAATCAGATTTGAATTTATAAACCGAGTTTTTCAATCAAACCGGGTCACCGGTTCTTATGGTTTTTAGCCGATATTACTGGTTCAACTAACATCCGGTTTTAGAGCTGAGCCGGACTCGGCTAGGTGAAGGAGTCACGGTTGGACCGGTCCAACCGGCCGGTCCGGTCCGAGATTCAAAACGTTGGTCAAATATCAAGTTTATCTGTTTAAATCAGTATTTTAAAGTTCAATCTGGATAGAAATTACAAAAAAATAAAATAGTGTAAACATGATAAATGAGAAAACCATCCTAATAACCTACAAAATATCAAATCTGGTCCGTAAATGCAAGCTTTCTTTGCAGAACCAAATGTGTCTAAATACTAAGGGCCGGGGTCTTTTATGTGTGTTGTATGTAGGGTGGGACGGATCCAGATATCTGGAAAATTTGAACTATCCGGATCCGGATCCAGATTCGTCAGATCCGTGATTTTAGTATCTGAATTCAGATTCGTGTCTTCTGAATATCCGGACTCCTGATATTTGTCTAGATATTATGATATCCGCGGGTATCCAGAGTCGGATCCGTAAAAATAAATTTTTTTTTTTAAAAATCAAAAATTCTAAAAAATAATACATAAACTAAATATTTAATCTTAATTTATGAATATATATATGACATATTATTATTAATGTAAAATTATAATATTATTAAACTATTTTATGTATAAATATTAATATATCAGATATAATTAATAATAAAATAAAAAATTTAATATTTTTAAAAATACGGTCCGAATTTAGATATCCGGACCTACAAATTAAGATATCCGGATCCGGATTCGGTATACATGGGTCCGATATTTCACTATCCGGATTTGGATCCGGATACCCATCGGATATCCTAATTTCAAAACGGATCCAGAGCGAATCTCGGATCGAATTCGAATCTCGGATCGAATCCGAATCCCGGATAAAAGTCCCAGTCCTAGTTGTATGTGCACTACAAAAAAGAAGAACACACTAAATCACTTAAAGCGTATCACGAAAATATAGGTGACTGTATTTTAAATTAATTAATTATAATTAAATGATACAAATAATAATAAGTTAGAATCAGTTCAAGGGATGATATGTAGTCTGACAGACTGCAAAACCGTTATGGTTATATGTGCTTTGACTGAAATTTATTATGTATGATTGATTATAAGTTTGACAAATAAGTACTGCAATGCTCGTACAAAGAATTTGCGTCAAAATTAAGAAAATTTTGAAAAACGAAAATGATATTTAAGTTTTAGTTCATACTAGGTTAATATTCGCGCATTTACGCGGGATAAAAATTATATATATAAATTATTTATATCTTATTCTTTATATTGTGTTATTTTATATATTATAAAATAAAAAAATATATTTAATAATTGAAAAATTTGTAACTATTATATATACAATTAATTTAGCGAGCACTTAAATAAAATAATCATTTATGTTTATTTACAATCTCTTTATATAAATAAATCTAATTAATATAATGATATTAATATATATAAATAAATCTAATTAATAAATGATATATATATATATATTATACTTTTAAGATATATATATTATACTTTTAATTTATAATAAAAATTTTAAAATATTGATAACATCATTTTTAATGTGAGGGATTTAATATTTACAGTAATTTATCCTCATTAAGAAAATTAAATTCAAAAGTTGTCATTAAATTATTAAGTTCTCAATACTTGTTCAATGAAATTTTGGAATTAAATATTTACGTATTTTTAAATGGTATTTAGTTTAATTTAAACATCACTAAAAAATTATATATATACATCTAATTTAAATATCTATTAAATTATATTTCTTATTCATTAATTATATAATTGTTTGTATCGTGATATAACAAAAACTTTAAATTACTAATCAAAAATATTATATGTGAAATTTTTAAATTTTTAATTAATTTATAGTTGTTTTTAAAAATTCAAATATAAAATATATAAAAAATCTAATTTTTTTTGTTATATAGTCAGTGTTATTGTTTAATTTATTTCACAATATAAATTTAACAAAAAGAATAGAGATTATACAATTTTTTATAAAATATTTCATATTTAAAACATTAATTTTCATATATATATATATATATATATTATAACCATATTAGGTCATTCCGTAAATTTTATTTAAGGAAATATTAATTAGCATTAATAATAGTTTTATGATTAGTTTAATAAAAAAATATATTATATATTTATATTGACCAACACTTTACTCTAGAAAATTTGAGAAGCATTCTCATGATGACACATGACTACCAATACATGTGGTAATGCTTCTCAATTAATATATAAAGGGATTTTCACAATATAAATTTAACAAAAAGAATATAGACTATACAGTTTTTTATCAAATCTTTCATATTTAAATCATTAATTCCCATATATATATATATATTATAACCATATTAGGTAATTCCGTAAATTTTATTTAAGAAAATATTGATTAGCATTAATAATAGTTTTATGCTTAGTTTATTAAAAAGTATATTATATGTTTATATAGCAAATTTGAAAAATATTTTCATGATGACACATGACTAACAATACATGTTGTAATGCTTCTCACTTAATATATAAGGGATTTGAGAGAAACTCTCAAATACTTGTATGTTTTTTTATGACTTTAATACTTTGTGTGTTATCAAGGAGAAATCACTTTTCAATTAAAACTACTATAAAGTTACGTTTTTTTATTTATATAAAAATAGTAATATACATAAAATAATTCATTTATATATTAATTTATTTTATATATTATATAAATAATTATTTTAAATTTATGTATGTTTTATGGTTGTTTAAATTGAGAAATTATAATAAACGATCAAAAAGTAAGGATTAGACAGTTTTTAGTGACACTTAAGGAGAATCAAGTAGTTGTTTTAGTATATCAGTTTAGGAAATGATTTATTCAATTAGGAAATGATAAAGAAATTATATTGATTAATTCATTTTAAATATGTAAAGGGTATATTAGTGAGAATTAAATTTATAATGATTATTAGAATTTTCAATTCTAAAGTTATTGGTTTATGGATTATGATATACCATGGATTTTACCCATTATTAGCCATGGTATATAAGTGTTTTAAGATATATATATATATATATATATATATATATATATATATATATATATATATATATTATGTTTTGGAGTATTTTTAGAGTATTTACAGTTTCAGGTACGTTCTGGAGAGATATGGTGATTTTGATGTCTTTTGGAGTCTCTTGAGTGCAGAACTGCACAAACGCTTCAGATGTTTAGCTATGCATGGAGAACTTCCCACCGTTAGATTGAACCCATATTTTGACAAAAATAGATATTTGAGTTAGCTTTCCAATGCCACCGGTTTGAGGTCAATCAGCATCATGTAGCAGAAGTTATTCCCATTTTACTGAAGCGTGGTCAGTCAACCTTGCGAGAGGAAGCTGTCAATCTTGGTGTCGATCGATGGAGATTCCAGGACGCAGACGAAGTATATTTTAAGAACCAGAAAAACCTAAATTACCAGAATGCCCTTGGACGGCAAGAAACC